GCTGTGCTTGTTGTGAAACTCTCAATCCAGAATGTTTCAGATTGCTGGTCTTTGTGAGGGTGGGACCCACTGAGCCAGATCACCTGGTTCCCTGTTTCAGCCCCTTTTTGGTCAGTTGAATGGACGACTCTGTCTCCCAGGCATTCCAGGTGCCATTTGAAACAGCCACCCAGATTTGTGTGAGTTTTTGTGCGGAGACCCACTGTGCTGGCTGAAACAGCTGTGCTGGAAACTTGTGGTGCTTTTCCACCTGGGAATCTCCTGGTATGTGAGCAGTAAAAACTCATTTGGAAATGCAGCGATCACTCACCCTCTGCGTTCTCACTGGGAACTGCACTCCAGAGCTGTTCCTATTTGGCCATCTTGGATCCCTCCCATCTAATGTGGAATTTTTTATGACTCATTTTTTTCTTTATAATTTTTATTGGTTGGAAAATATTTAAATACCAGTTATCAAAACAACAAAACCCAAATTTCCATAAGCCCACCAGACTTACTTATGGTATTTCCCCTATATATTTATCTGCAATTGTATGACTTAAAATCAAATCATAACATATAAATTATTTGTAACCTAGCACAATTTTTGGATCTGTCTCTCTCTCTCTCTTTTTCTTTCTTTCTTTCTTTCTTTCTTTCTTTCTTTCTTTCTTTCTTTATTTTATTATTTTTTTTTTTGAGACAGGGTCTTACTCTGTCACCCAGGATGGAGTGCAGTGACACAATCTCAGTTCACTGCAGCCTCAGCCTCCCAGTCTGCAGTGATCCTCCTGTCTAAGCCACCCCACATAGCTGGAACTACAGGCATGTATCACCACACCTGGCTAATTTTTTGGTATTTTTAGTAGAGACAAGGTTTCATCATGTTGCACAGGCTGGTCTTGTACTAGATCACTTTTTTAAATAAACTTTTTATTTTAGAACCATTTTAAATTTATATAAAAATGTCAAGGATAGTACGAAGAGTTCTCATACATCCCACACCTGCTTCTCTGTTATTAATGTTTTCCATTAATATGGTACATGTGTCACAATGAATGAACCCAGTACTGATATGTTGTCATAAACTAAAAGTCCACACTTGACTTGGATTTCCTCATTCTTTCCCTGCTGTCCCCTTTCTGCTCTGGGACCCCCTCCATGACACCACATTGCATTTAGTCACGGTCTCCTTAGGCTCCTTTGGATGGTGACACTTTCTTAGATTTGCCCTGTTTTCAATGACCCTGACAGTTTTGAGGAGGACTGGTCAGGTATTTTGTAGAATGTCCTTCCATTGGTGTTTGTCTGATGTTTTTCTCATGACTAGACTGGGATTTGGGGTTTGAGCACAGACGTGCAGGGCCGTCACCATCACACTGAGTCAGGGACATACACTGTCCACAGGAATTACCACTGCTGATGCTGACCTGGTCATCTGGCTGAGGGCGTTTGTCAGGTTTCTCTACTGTAAAGATGCTCTTTTCTACCCCGATTCCACATGGCACCTACCCTTTGAAAGCAAGTCACTAAGCACAGCCTGTATGTAATTAAGGAGAGGGAGTTATGCTTCATCTTCCTAAGGACAGGGTATCTGTATAAATTATTTGGATTTCTTCTGCGTGGGAGATCTGTTTGCCCCATTTATTTAATCCTTTAAATCCAAATCAGCATGGATTCATGAATATTTATTTTTTACTTTGAGTTATAATCTAATGTTTTTTTATTTTCTTACCTAAATTGTTCTAGCTTTGGCCATTGGAACCTCTTGCAGTTGGCTCCTGTGTCCCTTTGACTTGACCTCTTTGGTGTGTGTGTGTGTGTGTGTGTGTGTGTGCGCGTGCGTTTGCACGTTCATGCACACACATTTATCACTTTTTCATTTACTGGCACTAAAAGACCTTCCAGGCTCCTCTTGTATGTTTCCTGCCCCAGTCCTGGAATCGGCCATTTCTCCAAGGAGCCCCATTCTTTCACTGGAGAATGGTATTAAAAGGCAACGTCTGGGTGCGCAGTGCTCTTTGCTACTGAGCAGGTTGCTTCTAGGCTTTCTCAGCTGACAGAACAAGAAGTTGCGCGTGCATGCCAACATGTGTGTATACCCACATCTTTAAATATTTCTCTGTGTAACCATGTGCATCAACATAGAGCTTACCATGAGTTCATACTGATGTCTCCAGTGCTAACACATTACCCATGGATCATTCCAGCTCCTTCCCTTGCTTATGTACCTGGTATCAATCTAAACTTACCAAGACCTCTATGATCATTTCCATTTGATTAAATTTAAAAATATTTTATGAAATATTCTACAAAAACATCATGTAGTTGTTTATTTATTCATTGTCACCCAGGCTGGAGTGCAGTGGCACAGTCACAGCTCACTGCAGCCTCCACCCCCCAAGCCCAAGCAGTCCTCCCACCTCAGCCTCCTGAGTAGCTGGGAACACAGGTGCATGCCATCATGCCCAGCTAATTTTTAAAATTTTCTTTTATGTAGAGACTGGTTTCAAACTTCTGGCCTCAAGTGATCCTTCCACCTTGGCCCCCCAAGGTGCTGAGATTACAGGCTTGAGCCACTGCACCCAGCTCATTTGGCTTTTTGTTTTTTATCTAAATATAGCTGTTAATAACGTCAAGATTAAAGGTGAGCTACACAAAAGGGGCGAAATAGTTTAACATGGCAGGAAAGGGGGGGAAATCTGGAAATGCATTGGTACTTAGAAATTAGGTGCCAAAAAATCAGTGAAGTCTGGGATGCCAGCAAGAATGGTGGGTACACAGCCCCATGGGCCTGTCCCACAAAGAAACATTGAAAAATCTAATAAAACTTCAGAACCAACTTAATCAAAACTTTGAAAAACAGTCAGAGGTTTACAGCAACCAAGCAAATGCTGAATCAAGAAAAAGGCAGGCTGGATGTGGTGACTCACGCTTGTAATGCCAGCACTTTGGGAGGCCGAGGCAGGCGGATCATGAGGTCAGGTGTTTGAGACCAGCCTGGCCAACATGGTACAACTCCATCTCTACTAAAAATGTAAAAATTAGCTGGGTATGGTGGCAGGTGCCTGTAATCCCAGCTATTCAGGAGGCTGAGGCAGGAGAATCACTTTAACCCAGGAGGCAAAGGTTGCAGTGAGCCAAGATCACACTACTGCCCACCAGCCTGGGTAACAGAGTCAGGCTCCATCTCAAAAAAAAGGTAGAGTCTTGTGATGACTCTACTTGCCCTCCTCCCACCCGTCAATCTTGAAGGCAGCAGCATGTTCCTAGCATGGGGCCTGGTCCCTGCTGCTGGAGGCAGAGCACATCTTACTCAAAAAGAAGTGGGTATTTATTCTCACTAGTCCAGTGGCTGCCTGAAGGGCTGACACAGGGGCTTGTCATTGTTTCACTAACTCAGAACCCACTTGCTGCAGAAGAGTGGCAGACATTGCTTGAAAACATTGTAAGGCGCGGGCCGGGCGCGGTGGCTCAAGCCTGTAATCCCAGCACTTTGGGAGGCCGAGGCGGGTGGATCACGAGGTCAAGAGATCGAGACCATCCTGGTCAACATGGTGAAACCCCGTCTCTACTAAAAATACAAAAAATTAGCTGGGCATGGTGGCGCGTGCCTGTAATCCCAGCTACTCAGGAGGCTGGGGCAGGAGAATTGCCTGAACCCGGGAGGCGGAGGTTGCGGTGAGCCGAGATCGCGCCATTGCACTCCAGCCTGGGTAACAAGAGCGAAACTCCGTCTCAGAAAAAAAAAAAAAACATTGTAAGGCAAATAACTTCCTGCTGCCTGAAGCTAAAAATTATACATTTGAGGCAAACAATGGAGCACTGAAAGCTCTGGAAGAAAAACTGAGGAGAGAGACACTTTTGGAAATTAGAGCATTCAAAAGTACCTGTAGATACCGGGAAACGTAGAAAGCCCCACACATGCCCAGGGAGCTTGCATGCTCAGAAGAGATCTAGTAAGACCTGAGCTTTCACCTGGGGCTGGTCTCTATGCTCAGTGCAAGCAGGAAGTGAAGGCTAAGGTAGAGCTGTGAAGAGCCTGGCTAAGTAATGAAGCAGGCGCTAGCACAGAGCCAGCCACAAAACAGATTGGGAGAAGTTTCTGTTACTTTTTCTGTTCTCTGTTCTCTCTCTCTTTCTCTCTCCCCCTCCCCCCTTCCCCCCACTCCCTTTCCATCTTTCTCTCTCTCCCCCTTCTCTCTCTCTCCCTCTCCCTCCTTCCCTCTCTTTCCCCTCCCTCCTTCCCCCTTTCTCCCTCCCTCCCTCTGCCCCCCTCAGCTTCTGAATCTGAGATGCCCACTCCATCAGGAAGGACTGGTGTAGATGACAAGGATGTTTACGAAAGCAGCAGGCAGGAGGCAACACCCAGGGCACACGGCAGGCTGCCTGTCCTTTGGGGGTGCTCTTGGAGGAGGAGGGCCTCTTGGTGGTGCTGGGAGTGCCCTGAAGCTCCTATGCTACTCAGATGTCTCAGCTTTAATCTCTGGAGATTGCTGTGGTTCAGATGCCGGTCAGATACTGAGTTGATCCTTATTCTATCTGAATGCTGTAACCCCAGGGTGGGCTCACCCCCATGGCCTCTGTCTGTGGGAGGCCAGGACAGAGCTGCTCATCCAGTCAAGCAGTGGGACTAGATAGGCCTAGAAACCAGCCCCCCCCCCCACCACTGCAGCAGACACAGACATGGCCCAGGCCCAGGCACCCCAACATGGGGGAAGGGCTTTCCTGAAGTTGGGTGGGCATGCCTTTGGTGAAAGTAGTTTTGGGTTTTGATTTGTGGAGCCCAGGAATGTGGGATGGTGCTTGGCCGGCAGCAGCTGCTGCAGCCTCACCGTAGGTATCTGCCTGGGGCCCTTACCAAACTGGCACCACAGGTGTGGAACATCTACCTGCCAGTGTGCCAGCTGCCGTGAAACCGTGAAGAATTTCCAGAGAAGCACAGTGATGGGGCGTGTGGTTAGACTGCCCTGCACTGACAGTGCCTCCCGTGCCTGAACACACATGGTCTCTCCATGCAGGAAGGACGTGCCCGTGGAACACGTAACACATGCAGACAGAGAGCAAACCAAGAAGGTGGTGTACTCGGTGGTCTATGGAGCAGGTAGGCTGCAGGCCAGGAGCCAGGGTCTCGGGGTCACAGGTAAGCTGGCAGCCCTGTACCTGTGTTTAAATGTGGCTGTGCCTCAGAGATCATCTGTGAGTCCCTGGGTGTTGTTTATGCTCTGATGACACCTGCAGCCACCAGACACTGGCCAGACCACCCCATGCCTTGCCCTGCTCAGAGTCACAGCCAGTCTCTCAGGGGAGGCCAAGGAGGTGGGCGGGTCCAGTGTGACCAAGCCATTGGCCCCACCTCTACACCATACCACTGTGCTAGGCACCACTGCTGTGCTTGGAGACCGTTGAGGAGACCCTGGTCCACACACATGCCAAGGCATGATAAAGTTAGACAGCTTAGCCTCAAGGTGTGCAGCGCTTGGACTCACTGCCACATCTCAGCACGCACCCCAGCTCCCTAGGGCAGAGCTCACCCAGCTGGGCCATGCAGCCAAAGCACCCCACAGAGGGCAGAGCCAGGCCTTGGGCTGTGAGCAGGGCAGTGGGGGTCCAACGTCAGGGGCAGCAGACAAGAGAAAGGGGGGTTAGGCCAGGAAGGGCTGGAGGGCCAGAGGTCTGGGCTGCCTGGGGCCTCTTCTGCAAGCATCCCTCTCCCCTCCCCTTTTCTGTTCCCTTCTACTCCTCTCCCTCCTTCCCCCCAGCCCCCAGCCCCAACACCCATGTCAGAGCGGGCCATCTACTCTCTTTCACTCTCCCTTCGACTCCCTGACATGGGCTGTCCAAGACTTTAATTCTTTTCTGACCCTGAGTGATGCTGAATCAGTGTGGCCTAATTTCCCCAGCCAGCCAGCTCCTTCTTAAGCCTGTTCAGACCTCCTTTCCCTATGATGAGCTCTGCTTTGAGCAGCAGGGCTTGTGCAAAGACCTTGAGAAGAAGATTCACCACCCTACCATGGAAACCCTTTGTATATTCACAGAAAGGCAGCAAAACCAAACAAGCTTCAGTGGAAGAATAACGGGGCAAGCACTTCCTAGATTGTCCCTAGGAGCTGCCCTGCAGTCTCCATTGAGACTGTGGTGCTGCTGGACGAGCATCCAGGGTGCCCCACCCCGGGGCTGTGGATGGATGGCCTGTCTTGAACCGCAACCAACCAGCCAGCCAGCTCCAGCCTCAGGGCTTTGCGCTGCTGTTCCGCCTGCGGAAACGCCTGCCCCAGAGCCCGCCCTCACTTCTGCAGCCCTGCGCTCAACTCTCCCCTGTGCAAACTTCCTCAGCCACAGTATTGGTTACCCACTTTTGGATAACAAATTGCCACAAACGTAGTGACTTAACACACAGTATCTCACAGTTTCTCTGGGTGTGGGCATGCCATAGCAGGGTCCCCTGCAGGGCTGCAGTCAAGGTGCTGGCTGGGGCTGTAGTTGCATCTGTGGCATGACTGGGGAGAGATCCATTTTCTTGGTTTCTGTTTCTTTTTTGTTTGTTTTTTGTTTGGGACAGAGCCTCGCGCCGTTGTCCAGGCTGGACTGCAGTGGCGCAATCTTGGCTCACTGTAACCTCCAACTCCCAGGCTCAAGCAATTCTCCTGCCTCAGCCTCCTGAGTAGTTGGGATTACAGGCACCTGCCACCATGCTTAGCTAATTTTTTGTATTTTTAGTAGAGACAGGGTTTCACCACGTTGGCCAGGCTGGTCCTGAACCCCTGTCCTCAAGTGATCTGCCCCCTTGGCCTCCCAAAGTGCTGAGATTACAGGCATGGGCCACCCTGCCCAGCCAGCTTCTGTTTCTTGCTGGCTGTCAGCCAGAGGTGGTCTCAGCTGCTTGCCACGTGGGCCTTACACCTTGGGCAGAGCCTGCATCTTGGCAGCTCTGCTCTTTGAACCAGCAAGGGAGCAAGAGATGCCAGCTCTGCACCCACTCACCTGTTCATGGTCTGATGCCCCAGCTCGAACATGGGCACCTCAGAGATAGGAGCTCATCAGCGTAACTCACTGCCCGGCACAGAGAAGACACAGGAACAAATTAGTGGACTTGGTGGTCTCAGCTCCACTTTTGAAAACATTTTGATTGTGTACATGGTTTTTGGAAAATAGACTATGAAACTTTGTTTTAAAGAACTAGATTCTGTGAGTGACAATAATGTGACATTGAGTTGATTCTCTTCAGAGTTGCTTGGTCCACTGCCTTCTCTCAGCCTCTTTCTTCTGTGCTGCACCCCTGAACCTCCCTGGGGTCCCTGTCTTGGGAGGAAGGCATCACTGCCAAATTATATGAGACTTTGTTGCCTTCATCCTTGCTCCAACATCTTGTCTTGCAAACATAACATTTGCTTCTGCTCTGCCAGCAGGACATCGCCTCCCCAGTCCTGGGCCAGGCAGCCTGGGCTTGATCCCAACCCTGTCACCTCCTTGACTGCGTGGCTTGTACAAGACCCTCCACCTCCCCGTGCCATCTCCTCCCGGGGAATGCTCTCATAGGGTGGGTGGGGCCACACCTGGCACACAGTCAGCTGTCATCTCTGTCATCTGCCCTTCACTTCTGCACCATGTCAATTAATGCCTCCAAGTGACTGATCTGTAGGTCTCCTGTGGCAGCCCTGGCCTTGTCTCCAGCTGGGGCAGCCACCCCACATCCAGCTAGGAGGAAGGATTGGAGACTGGGCGGGCCGAGCACCTGCCGTGGGGCAGGCCATCCCCCACCTACCAGAAAAAGGTGGTCTTCTCTGCCACCCCTTTGGCTCCTTCTGGAGTATTCAATTTCTTTCTTTTTTTTTTTTTTTTTTTTTTTTTTTTTTTTTTTTTTTTTTTTTTTTT